TTTCCAAAATTTTCGGTCTTTTCTCTCTCGAAGCTTTGTCTCTCTCTCTAAAATTTCGTCTGCAAAAATGGCGTCGGTTGAGAACCCTGAGCCTGAGGTAGACATGGCTGCCTCCTCGGAAGCTCCCGTGGAGGTTGCAGTCGTGGCTGAGAAGCCAGCTTCGAAACCCGTGAAAGAGAAGAAGGTGAAGGTCCCTAAGGAGAAGAAGCCCAAGACTACTGCTGCTCATCCACCTTATTTCCAGGTAGCTTTAATGGCGTGTTATTAAATGGAGGTTTTGATTCGATCAGTTTTATAATTCTCGTGTTTTGAATTGCTCCCTTTCTCTCTCTTTTCCTTGATTTGAGGGGTTAGTGATTTCATTTTAACACAGCACTTCTGTTAATAAGGGCTTTGAAACTGTTTTAGGGTTTTAGATCGTTTGAATTAGATGATTTTCCAGCTCTCTCTCTCTCTTTTTCTGATTGTAGCTTCCTTTTGTTATTCTCCTCTCACTCTCTCTCTCTGCCTTCTCTGTCTATTTCCTTCCTGTTATGAATCTGTTTCTTCATTGTTTCCATTAATTAGTTGCAAACATTCTGCTTGATCAATTTGTGAACACTTTTATTTTTTTGCGTGTCTTACTGTTATCATTGTTTTTCTTCTATTTTATGCTCATACAATTCTCTCTATGCATCTACATCATATCATGATTTACAGGTTTAATTTGGTCCTTCTTTTTTTTTTTTTTTCCCCCTTTCAATTCTGAATTTTTAAGGGTTTGTTTTCCTATAATTTTGATAATCACTCATTCTCTTTGGACATCCTTCTGATTGAACAGATGATCAAGGAAGCTATCTTGGCATTGAAAGAGAAGGGAGGGTCTAGCCCTTATGCCATTGCAAAGTTCATGGAGGGGAAATACAAGGCTGTGCTCCTAGGTAATTTCAAGAAAATGCTTGCCCTTCAGCTCAAGAACCACGCTGCAAAAGGGAAGCTCGTCAAGGTGAAAGCCTCTTATAACCTTGTTGAAGAGGTGAAGAAAGAAGCTCCTGCAAAGAAACCCACAAAGAAGCCTGTAACTACTGCTTCAAAGAAGCCTAAGGCCCAAAAGAAGTCTGCAGCCTCTGCTCCTAAAGCTTCTTCGAAGCCATTGAAGAAAAAGACCACATCTGTTAAGAAATCCCCAGCTCCTAAGAGGGCAGCACCTGCTAAGCCAAAGCAACCAAAATCCATTAAGTCTGTGAAGTCACCTGTGGCGAAGAAGGCGAGGAAGGTGGCTTAGGCAGTGAGAAGTTGATAGTGCCATGGCCGAGTCTTGTAATATTTGATCTGTAAATTCTTCTTCTTGACATAGGAGCTTGTTTCTTTCTTCCCCTGTTCTGAAGGCTGGCTCGTCGGATAATGGTGGAAGTTTTTTTGATGGATTGTAGATCCTATATGTCCATGTTTCGATCTAGCAGTAGCTATGCCAATAGAAAAAAAACTATTAGCACTGTTCGTTAAAAAAAAAAAAATTAGAACTGTTAATCAACATAACTTATATAGCGCTTTCTCCGTTAGTTCATTCTCTCTTCCTTCTCTCTCCATTAGTTCATTCTCTCTTCCTTCTCTCTCCATTAGTTCTTCTCTCTTCCTTCTCTCACCATTATTTCCTTCTCTCTTCCTTCTCTCTCCATTATTTCCTTCTCTCTTCCTTCTCTCTCCATTATTTCCTTCTCTCTTCCTTCTCTCTCCATTATTTCCTTCTCTTTCATTCATGCTTTGCTCTTGCGTTCACGTCTCTCTTGTTTTTGGGTATTCTGAATCTCTCTTTGCAAGGTTCCGTTTCCTCCTTTCTTTCGGTTTCGGTTGCAGGTTGCGATCGCCCACTCTTCAACTTCGCTATTCTTATAGAATGATCCCGCTTTCCGTTTCGGTTGATGGTTTCGAACGCCACTCTTCTCTCTCTATTCTTAGAAAGATGCAGTTGCTTAGGAAATGAGCGTCGTTTTTTTTTTACCCTGGGGAATAAGTCTTTTTATATGAATATTTGCGGTATATTATTTTCTGAGTCCTACGATTTTCTCTCTGATAGAGTGGATGGATGATGAGAAAGATGGGTGTCATGTTTTGAATGGGCATTGCCTACTTTTCAACTTCCAATGCACATTTCCTTCCAAATACTTTTATTCTTATACTATTCTAAAAAATTGTAACCCAAACCAACCTATGTTATATGTGGCTGTGAAAATGTAATTTAATCTAACTTATGTTATACGGTACTTTCAATACTGTAAAATCATCCATGTTACTTTAACATTTTAAGTTTGGTAAAAATTAACTTATGTTTTACGGTATTTGAAATGTTGTAATTTTTTTTATTTATATTTATTTATTTCATATCTCAATCATTTTATGCTTATAGTAATTACACTATGAGGCCCTCCAACATTTTATGTTTGAGACATTACATTATGAGAGTAGAATCTCAAAGGATCATCATTAAATTTTAATGTAAATTTTTAGAAAAGTCATGTGATACAGATTCATTAAATTTTAATATAGATCTTTAAAAGAGTTAATGACATGGGTGTGTGATTTCCTACATCTACTTTAATAGGATTTTAAAGGATCATCATTAAATTTTATAGATTTCTAGAAAAGTTATGACATGGGTGTGTGATTTGGGTTGATAAGTTTATTGATAATTTTTTAAAAATTGAATGGTGATATTTTAGGGACTTATTCGTATTGGTGTGGGAGGGTTTTATAGTATTATTATTTTTTATGTTTATATCTTTTTTCTCTCTTTTATTTTTTTTCATATTTATTTTTATTTTTTACTTTATTTCTTTTTTCTCTTCTTTCTTTCGCTAACTCATTTCGAAAAGATTTGGATAACAACATTTGCGTATTTTACTTTGTTGTATAAAAACTCCCTTCAACGCCATGATGAATCAAATTTATATCACGTTGGAATTGCGTTTGTTGACGGGATGAAGTAAGTAAAGAGAGAAAGAGAGAAAGAAGAGATAAAAATAAAATAAAAAGAAAGAGCAGATAAATATTAAAAAAAATTAGAGAGAGAAAGAAGAGATAAAAAAATTAAAGAGAAATAATAGACAAATATTAAAAAAAATTAACGAGAGAAAGAGGAGATAAATATAAAAAGAATAATTATAGAGATGAAAGAGATAAATATAAGATCAGATTTGTATCACGTTGGAATAGTGTTGGTTAAAAAATTAAAGAGAGAGAAGTAGAGGGAGAAATAAGAGGTAAACATAAAAAGAATTAGAGAAATGAAAGAGATAAATATGAGGAGAAAATAATTTATTGAATGTCATATAACATGATTTAGTTTTTACTGTACTTAAAATATTGTACTGTAATTGTATTTCACGGTAAAAAAAAAGAAAAAGACCCGAAATTGAAAGTTTTTAAAATACTTAAAATACCGTACCGTAATTGTGCTTCATGGTAAATAAAAGAAAGAAGCCCAAAATTGAAGAAAAATAGTGTGGGCTAGGTTTATAAAAGTTTAGGAGTTTTTTTTCTTCTAAATAGATGAAAATTAAGATACATTTGTGATAATTTTCCATTATTTTATCTTTGGTGAAAGGAGGTCAAAATTATTTTTGCATAGATGAAAACATGTTCACAGTATTCGAGATTTTATAGCCATTGTTAAGACTTTGCCCATATTGTCCTCTGATCATTGCCTTATCTTACTGAATACTGGATTGTTAAAAGGTAGGCCAAAACCCTTTAGATTAGATGTGGGCTGGTTGGAGGAGAAAGATGTTGTTGAGATGATTAGAGGGGCTTGAGAAAATACCGTTGTGGAGGGTATTTTGGATTTTCAATTACACAAGTTGTTGAATATCAAACATAACTGATTATATGGAAAAGATAGAGCAATTTTGATATTAAAGCCAAAAATCGATGGGGTTTTATCTGATATTGAATTATTAGATCATAATACCCAATTGGCTGGTGTGTTAACTGAGCAAATTAGTTTTGGATCGTTGTTTGAAACTTAAAGGATTTGAGGAGTTGTGTAGAGCAGGTAAAATTTATTGGAAGCAAAGATCTAGATCGAAGTGGTTAAAAGAATGAGATCTTAATATTAAATTCCTTCATGCGATTGTTAGTGCAAGAAGAAGACAAAATGATCTCTTTAGATTGGCCATTCCTAGGATCAATTCAGAGAATGATTATGCTATAGAGGGTGCAGTTATTAATCACTTCAAGAGGGCATTTACTAAATAAGTTAAATTTACTCCCTCTTTAAACAAAGTTCCTTTCAAAGTGTTGTCGATGGAGATGAAGAGTCTTTTGGAGAGAGAGGTCACTATTGAGGAGTTGTATAAGGTGTTTGCAATGCTAGGGGACAAGGCGTCTGGACCTGATGGTTTTTAGTTTTTTCTCATAAATTTTTGAATTTGGTTAAAGGTGAATTATTGGAGTTTGTTAGAAGTTTTATAATTAGGAGGTATATTTTTAAAGGGGTAAACTCTACTTTTTTGGCATTGCTTCCCAAAAAATCAGTGATTTCTAACCTATCAGACATTCGATCGATTAGTTTACTCACCTGCCTTTACACAATTATTGCAAAAGTTTTAGCGAAAAGATTGAAAGTTGTCATTTCTCTCCTCATCTTTAGTACACAGTCAGTGCTTATTCAAGATCGCCAAATTATTGATAGGGTGCTTGTTGCACAAGAATGTATTCATGCACAAGAATGTATTCATCCTAAAGTCATGAGTAAGAAGCCTGGTATTTTGCTTAAGCTGGATATGAAAAAAGCCTATGACCGAGTAGAATGGAGAATTATGTTAGAAATTTTAAAGGTTATGGGATTTGGCGATAGATAAAGGAGCTGAATTCTTTGATGTCTTTCTTAAGCTTATTTTTCGGTGTTATTCAAGATGAGTCCCATTGGTTATTTCAATGCTTTTAGAGGTCTTCGACAAAGGGTACCCTCTTTCTCCCTTCTTATTCACTATCTACGCTGAATGCTTGAGTTTAATGTTAAGTTCGGTGGAGAGATTGGGTCACTTTGTGGGCTTTAAGCTTTCTGATTCTAGTATTGTTATTTCTCATTTGCAATACGTAGATGACACTTTAATCTTTTGTAATGTTGACTCTCTTCAAGTTAAGAGCATTGTTAGATTTTTGGAAGTTTGTGAGGTCAAGCTTGGCCTTAAAGTTAATTTTCACAAATCTTCCATGGTTGGAATTAATTGCTCAGAAGACATGGTAGTAAAATGGGGTGTAAAGTTGGTTCTTTCTCTGTCATATATCTCGATTTACCTAACTCTTATTCAAGGCATTCCATTGAACTTTGGGATAAAGTGCTATAAAGTGTCCAATTCAAACTAGATCTTTGGAAGCACAAGTATCTGTCGTTGGGTGGGAGGGCAACGTTGTTGAGATCTTGTTTGGCTAACCTTCCGGTTTATCAGATGTCATTGATTAATATGCTCGCTTCGATCCCAAAAAAAATCAAAAAAATGATGCGAAACTTTCTTTGGGGTTCTAGTACTGAGATGAGGAAATTTCATTTACTACAAAAGGATAAAGTGTGCACCCCAAATACGGAAGGTGGTTTGGGTATTCAAAATGTTAGAATGGCTAACCAAGCTTTGATGTGTAAATAGTGGTGGCATAGTCTCTATTTACAGGATCATCTTTGTTACTAAGTTTTATTGTCTAAGTATGGGATGAATAGATATGATGTATGGCTTGGGGGTGGAAGAGGCAAGGAGACATCTCATATGTGGAGCGCAATATTTAATTCTAGACCAATGATTTTGGGTTACTTTAGATGAAACTTAGGTTGTGATGATCATATTTTCTTTTGGCATCATAAATGGATTGGGGAGTACCCGTTGAAATTTGTTTTCCCTACGTTATTTGAGATTGTTACTACACCTAATTTGAAAGTCAATAAGGCTGTAGATAGAAGGGGTCAACTTATTTCGTGGAATATTTTTTTGCCCTATAGCCGTTTGAATAATATTTTATTTTTCCAAGGGTGTGCATTGATGGAGATGTTGAATAAGGCCTATATTTCGTAGAATGCCGAGGACGAGATGATATGGGAGATAAAAAGTGACGGTGTCTTTCCATCAAATCGTGTTATAATATTCTTTTTCACGACCATTGGAGATGGTCTTGTCCTCATATTGCTCAAATTTGGAAATGGACGATCCCCTACAAAGTTCAAGTCTTTATTTGGTTGGCTTCTCTGAATAAGGGTTTGGGCCATTGACAATTTGATCAAAAGGGGGAAAAGTTCTGTGAAATGTGTGCTTGTTTTGCAAATCTGATGGTGAAACTAGTACGCATCTATTTATCCATTGTTCTTTTACAGTGAGAATTTGGCACTGGCTGTTTGGCATTTTAGGGATAAATATTGTGCTTTCTCAATCTGTGGAGGGGATAGTTTC